TGGCAAGAGTTGCGGTGTGGACCAGGAACCCCGCAGCTTCTCCTGGAGTTCCTTAAGCCTGAAACCATGGCTGCCCCGGAGCTAGCAGAATCAAATGACATTTGTTTTAGTGGATTCTACTTCCTTATAACTCTCCAGAGAGAGAAAAACAATAGGAGAGAATTTTGCATTCAGTGTAAGGGCTAAACTTGTTTACATAGAGAATTAGTGAACTGTATATCAAATTCTACTTCTGTCCTTGGACATTCTGGAGGGGACAGAATCCTTGTACATTAGTTCTTGGTAGCATTAAATGTTGACTTTTCTGAGTGCCTATTTGCCATAGATACTGTCTTAGAACTGTCTAACGGGTGTGGAGAGTGAGGCAGAGTGGCCCAGGAACTTGTACACAGTCATACGGATAGCAAGTAGACAAACAAGGATCGGAACGGCCAACTCCAGGATGTATGCCTTTGGCATCATGTGACCCTCCCTTCTCTTGACCCATGCTCCATTCTCACCAGGCCCCCACTGTTTCTGCCCCAAGTTACAAGGGGTTGAAAGAAACACAACACCCTTGACGTGTAAATGGCTCCAGCAGCCATGTGGATATACAGGCATTCTTTCTGGAACCCAGCATGTAACAAGTTCTTAGCACAAAAGCCACAGGCTTCTCTGCTGGATCCTCCTCCAACTTTAATCTTAAAAATTAAAAATCTTTAATCTCGGGTTTTGCAGCATTACCCTCTAAGTTTGTTACTATGTCAGACTGTGGCTATATATGATGCACTGGACAAACAGTACCTGCTAGTCAACAGACAGACTGGGGAGAGCTCTGGTCAGCACTAATCATCTCCATACCATCCCTGTCTAAGGTTTAAATGGTTCCCTGTGACTGTCTTAATACTTTTGCTAGTAATTATTCAAATCATCCTTTTGCTGAGGAAGCGGTCTAGAAACTTCCATAGGCTATGTTGCATTCCTTAATCTCTTCTAAAGTCGTATATGGAGTCAGATATTGTTGTGGGTCCTGCAGATGTAATATCACTACAATGTCACCACAGATATATCAGTCATAATGAGCTAGGTTATGCTGCAGTAACATATAATCCCTTAAAAATAAGAACAAAATGTTTTCTCCACTGTGCTATGTTTCCTTCATGGACTCAGCACTCAAAATACCAAATGTCTGCTGGGTGGGAGCTGGGTATTGCCAGCCATGTGGCAGAGAAAAAAGAGAAAGTGTCCTGAAGCTGACAGGAGACAGAAGGCCGCCATGTGTAGGATGAGAAACGGCCAGGATAGCATGAATGGCCACCTAATAGGCAGCTCTAGTGAAAGAAGTCAGGTCATAAACAATAAAGAAAAAAATAAAGAAGTTTAGATTGCAAGGGGAAGACAAAAACAAATCAAATGCTTTTGTTGCTGATTTTACTAGAACAGCCCGGCTACCAGCTCACCAAACAAATGACAGTTGATAAATTTAATGCAACAGAAGCTTCCATGCCTGAGTCTTTTGAAAAATCCATATCTGTACCCATATTTGTATATAAGATTTAAAAAGACTTTGTGGGAAGCATACACTTACCATTGACACGAGGCTCACTCTACACTGGTTACAGATGTCATCCGCACCGTGGGGTTAGTTCCCCTGAACAAGCAGTTTGTTCTCAGCTAGTCTTGAACCATCGTATTATACATATAATTCACATCCCAACAGCATTTCTCATTCTTTTATTGAAGACTGGTTGTTAACATGTAAATCTGACTAAATCCTTGAACAAATCTCTCCCAGTGATGAAAGTGAGAATTTCTTACCTACTCAAGCTGAAGCACCAATTTACATATTTGGAATTAAACTCTAAATTAGGCTGTCTTCAATAAGACTAGGCAGGATGCAGATGGAGTTGTGGTTTAAACAGAGAAATGTCTTCCATGATTTAAACATTCAGTAGATGACTAAAATGACTTGACTTATTCAAACGTGCAATGTGTTAGATGACACAGTAATGAGGCTTAGCAACCGGCATCAACTGGATGCTGCCGCTTTCCTCCTGACATTACTCTGCCCTCTACTTGTCTGGGAGGCCCTATCTCATCACACTTTGGAATTAAGGCTTCATCTCTGTAGACCTCATTGCTGCACATAGGTAGAAAAAGCTAATGAGAGGAAAGGCAGCAAACAGGCACCAAATGGAGGTCACACCTCCTGAGCCTTGCCACTCCATTTGATAAACACCTCAAATCTTTCAGAATTTGCATTGCTAACATGCAAGTTCTGACTGAGCAGCAATGGGATGGTATGCTGCTTAGGAAGTTATAATGAAGAGCAAGTGGCTGAAAATAGCAAATGTGTTATCCTATGGCTCCTGCAAGGCAGGAAGACAGGAGCAGACACTGCTGAGTGGAAGGACTCTGGGTCGGGACCTCTCAGCACAGGCAGGGGACAGAGATTAGGAGACTCTGCTGGAGGCTGGATAGTCTGTTTCAAGAACAGGCCAAAGGTTTTGGCTGGAACAGCTTCTCTCCATCCAGACATGTCCACAGACTGTTAGAATATCCTACTACACGTACATCATCATCTGCAGGGCAACAGATCTAAGAGAGCAGGAGGAACCCCCAAAGCCTTCCATTTTTCTTTTGTGTAGTGCTAAGAAGGGCTCACATATTGTTTAGCAATCACTGCACTACTGAGCATCACTCCAGGCTCAATTATAATCCCTTTAAAGGCCTAATTTCAAAAACCACCTTGACTCCTACCAATTTCTGTTAGAAGCAAGCAAGCTATTAAATCCTTCTGAACTCAGAGAGAAGAGAGTTAAGTCCTACTTTTTAAAGAGAGAAGCATCGAGGAACTTGTGAGCATACTTTTAAAGCTATCACAGATCATTTTCAGATGATGCAGGTTACTGGTCTTGGACTATAGTTTGAAGAAACTAGAATGGACCAGGAAGATTTTATTCTCATGGTGTTTCATCTCTAACACTTCACCTTCTAACATGTCTGCCACTAGTCAACTACTTCCTACCTCTTCTCTCCTTTTCCTCTGCAGTCTCTTTTCCATTACTTATCTAATTGAGTATAAATTACATTAATTCAAATTAGTAGCCACAGAAAATGAAAGTTTTGAAGTGTCTACACTCTCGGACATCCAACATCACCCTAAAAAAGTAATAAGACATATTTTGAATAAATATTGAGAGTTACTGAGTATTGCTCTGTTCAAACAGCCCCCAGTTTGACTCAGATGAAGGCTAGAAACCCTAGAATCCATTTTCTTCATGAAGTTATGTGGCTGTCATCTCTCCTGACATACAGGTGTCCCCTCAATCAATGGCACTTCTAACTCTTCATCCCTGCATGCAGCACTGAGCATGGAGAGGCTCTGTTCTCTGAGTATCTTGTACTTTCATTCAGCCTGGCAGGTCCCTCAGTTGTAAACAGATGAGACTGAATTCTCTGCAGATCTCCAGCTTTTAACATCTTTGTCGTTACTGCTCCTGACACCACCACGTGTCAGATGCAGCACCCGAAATTTTATGTACTGTCAATTTGCACTGAACAGCTTTCTCTTTTATCATAATATTTCTCAAAACTTTGTGCTAATCAACTCTTTATTATCTAATATTACAATGGGTTGAGGAGTTCTAGTTAGTCAATATACCATAAATGATTCATAATTTTTTCAAGAGTTAATATATAATTTAAAAATAATAACAGATAGAACTTTACTGAGCATAATTTCTATAAATGCTTAAGAAGTAGACTGGTGTCTCCAACTATTATTATGAATATTCAGTACCAATTTTTCCCAATTCACTTTTTATTGATTCTTTGTGGATTTCACATCTTGCATCTCAATACCACTCATCTCCCAGTCCCTTCCCATCTGCCCTCTGCCCTTGCAGCCCACCTCCAAGAATAAAAATAAATAAAATTTAAAAGGAAAGAGAAAAGAAAAAAAAAGCGAAATCCCATTGTGGAAGCTGCAGTGTGACACAGTGAGTCACACCATCCTTTAGTCCATATATCATTACTTGCAAGTGTTCATTGCAATGAGTCATTGGTCTGGTTGGAGACCTCTGGTTTTTGCTACATCATAAATACTGGGCCCTCACTGGGACTTCTCTTGGATATCCTGTTGTTGTCATGGAGATCCTGCAGCTTTGGGTCTGCAAGATTGGCCCCTTCATGTGCTCCAGCAGATCAAAGATGGGGTGGATGATGGAATAGGCCAACTCTTAGCCCTGGATCTGGGTCTGGGTGGTTGCTGGGTTGGTCAGCCCACCAGCTCTCCCTCATCCTCAATATCAGAGTGAGCTCTCCAGCCCTGGCTAGTTCACCCTATGTAGTAAACAGTAAAGGGCGGGGCTTATGTTCTCCTGGCTGGCTCACCCACACCTACACCACCAGGGCCAGCTCTACTGTGTTGCCCAGGGGAAGTGCAGGGGCCACTCTGTCCAGTGCTGCAGCTGGTGGAAAGCATGACCTCAGAGACAGCTCTCCCACCTGCCACAGACCTCAAGGGGCATGGGGAGGTGTGGAGGGGTTCTCTCCCTTGCCCACTCCACCATATGGCAGATGAAGGGCAGACCAGATCTCCCACACTCATATTCTCAGGATGGCTCACTCCTGTCCCCGTCCACAGTGTCAGCTCTCCCGAAGCGAAGGGGAGGGGCATCTTTCCCTCACCCTCACCACCACATGGCAGACAAGAGGTGCAGGGCCAGCTCTCCCACGCTCACAACTTCAGGGCAGGCTCACCCACACCCTCCTACAGGGTTGGCACTACTGTGGTGCCTGGGCAAGGTACAGGGAGGGCTTGCTCTCCTGAGTTCTGTAGCCTCAGAACTCTGGACCAAGTTTATGAATGATTGTGGAATAAGCCATTAGATACATACCTCTGCTGTCTCCCACAGAGATATTTCCTATGACTAGAACTGATTTGTATCCATATATATTATCTGTGTGTGTGTACACATGTAGTCCCACAATCTTATCTGTAGCGGTTTTCTCCTCTGTTGATCATGACCTGCCCCTATGTCCCCTCTTAAATAACAATGTTTCTTGAGAAGTAGCAGGGAAGGAAGCACATGAGGCCCGTGGCCCTCTAGTGTGTAGCTCCCGTATCCTGTCAGCCTGTGGCAGGTGGAGGAAAGGCAGATAGGATGAACACGAGGAGATGTGGCTCAGAGAACTGGCCGTGGGGAGCATGAGTCTTGCTGCTGTACTCGTGAATAGTCTGGCCTCACTCGGGTTCACTGACCAAGGTCTGTCAGAATATGGAGTGCCGTTTGAAGGGCTGTTCTGCCTGACAGGCTTCCCGACCAACTGCCCAGCACTTCAGCCGCAAAGAGTGCAACTCATCTTCCACCAAGGAAATCAAGACATTTCTCATGAGTGTGTAATGATGACCTGAGACTCTGTAATGCTAAATTTTAAGTACATGATCTGGAGTGGGTTGTTCTGTTTCCCTAACCAGCCCACTCATCACTCATACAAAGCTGAGTGGTCTTTAAAGGAGCTGATATATTTCTTGTCTCCATTTACTGGGAGTTAGTGTGTTAGGAACTGTCAGGAAATTGATGGGCCTGTGAATCCTCTAATTTATGCCTTGGAAGTTAGATGGATGAGCATCCCTTCTCTGAGACACAAGTTGGAGTTGCTGCAGTTTCGCTGTTTAAAAAAAAAATACTGTTCCTTACCTCTAAGAAGCTGTCCTAGTCCCTGGATCTATGTCTTGTACCGCAGGGCTTGTTGTTCAGTATTCAAATGACAATGGGATAATCTGGCATTTGCTGCGCGAGTTGGATTTCATGTCATTTCTGGAGCCACAGATCATTTCCATTGACCTGCCACGAGAAGCAAAGACACCTGCCACAGCTTTCCGGTGGTGGCAGCCGCAGCACGGTGAGTCACTGCTCTCTCCAACTTCGCTGGTGGCTTCTTTTTTAATCACACAGCATCCATATCCAACTTGTAATGTATATGTTTGTTAATTTACTGTCAATTTCCAGACAATTTGATTTAAAACCGTGGTCACAAAGATACTCATATTGTTGTGTAATGAACCCTTCTCCATCTGCTGCTTTCTATCTGATTGCAGGGAAGCATTCAGCCCAGTGGGCTTTGGATGATGTCCTTATAGGAGTGAATGACAGCTCTCAAACTGGATTCCAAGATAAATTTGATGGCTCTATAGACTTGCAAGCCAATTGGTATCGAATCCAAGGAGGCCAAGTTGATATTGACTGTCTCTCTATGGACACTGCCCTGATATTCACTGAAAACATAGGTATATATTGCCACCACATAACAGAAGGATATTTGATTAACTACAGGAGTAAATTAACTAAAACTCAAAGGAATTTTCTTTTATAAAATTAGGTGCTTAACTTCCTTTGCTATGGAGGGCAGGGTATGCAATGTCCTCTAGAATAGCCTGGGAACCTGTGCCTGTTGGAACTTTCTTTCACGGAACATAGTAAGGAAGAAGATTACTTAAAGGCAGAAAAATATCTATCAGAGGACATTCCTATGTTTTGCAGTTTGCAAAATTGAGAGTTTATGACTCTGTGAGTCCCTCTTAAGATAGTAAAGGTCTTCAAATTGACAGCCTGCCATGTTTCCAATTCTGTGGTAACTATAAAACAGCAAGTGTGAGAAGAAAAGCCAATGCAAATCTGAGGCACTGACCACAAAGCATTATTTGGGTTTGCTGTAGGAAATGTTGGGAGCAAGCATAAGCATTATAGAAGTGAACATCACTCTATGCTGCCTTTGAACCTTTGCTGTTGTTGTTGTCTTTGGTAGGAAAACCTCGGTATGCTGAGACCTGGGATTTTCATGTGTCACCATCAAGCTTCTTACAGTTTGAAATGAGCATGGGCTGCAGTAGGCCCTTCAGCAGCACCCACAGTATACAGCTCCAGTATTCTCTGAACAACGGCAAGGACTGGCATCTTGTCACCGAAGAGTGTGTCCCTCCAACCATTGGCTGTCTGCACTACACAGAAAGTTCAATTTACACCTCAGAAAGATTCCAGAACTGGAGGCGGGTCACAGTCTACCTTCCACTCTCTACCAAGTGAGACTTGTCATTTGACTACATGTTAGGTTTCTGTCACCTAATTTGAAGATAATGGTGATTCCACTCAGGAATAGTGCTCTTCCGGAACAGCTTAGGAAGAAGCATAGTACAAGGTGTCTAAATATAACTAGAGAGTTCCAGAAGTTATGGTAACTTCTTTCCACAATAATTTCCTCATTGGATTCTCAGCTCTGTTACTCACTGTGCATCCAGTATCTTGCATAAAGAATGTTCTGTGTTAAATAAATACAGAGGTATCTATTTTCCTGGCACAATTCAGATAAGACATGCAATAGAAGGATGGGAGAAAGCATAAGACACTGCAGTGTGTTAATATTTGGTCTGAAATAGTTTTCCATGGACTTCCAAAGCTTAAAACAGTGCCTGCCTATCGTTCATTTGCTCCTTTTGACACAACATCTGTTGAATACCTAATGAATAAACTGATGCTAGGACCCAGCTACATTATTTAGGATAACACACAGCTAATCATCTGTTTATCATGCGAAATGATAACAGAGATGCTGCACAAGATCCTAGATAATCAGCCTAGAGGTGTGGGGGAGGTTCCCAGAGGAGCTGATATCTCTGCTGAGTAAGACTGATTAAGGCTGATCCAGGAGGAGAGGAACATGGGAGATCATACCTGCTGCTATAAAGCAGAACCAAATTTAGAGGCCAGAGAAAGCAAGAGTTGATGGGGAAAGTCAAGGATTTGGTGATGCCAAAACCTAATTGTGAGGCAAGTCATAGCAACAGATAGACTGGCACTGAAGAAGAGGGCAGACGGTGGGAGGCTGCATTCATCATCGGTGGCTTGGTCTTGACAGTGCACATGGCGGGTAACCATACTTCTATCTTAAAGCCACCGTGCTAGTAACTGCCTCAGACTGAGGAGAACCTGTATTGAGAAAGAAACAGTGGTACTTGGAATTGCACTACCAAGAGTCACCCTTCAGTGGAACGTGTTCTGTATTCCAAATACCAAGTCTTTTTCCATGCAGCCTGTTCCTTAGCAGTGGCTGTTCCTGTGTGGTAGGGCTGCCTCTGTTTCTGGAGAAAGTGCTCTCATGACCCAGTGTGGTGCTTACCTTTCATGGCTGTGCCAAGATGCCTGCAGAAGCAGTTTAAGGAAGGCAGCATTTATTCTGAGTCCCAGTTCCAAGATAAAGTCCATCCTGGCAGGGAGTTACAGCAGCAGGGGCGTGAGGCCGCTGCTCACACTGCAGCCACAGTCAATTGCCAGCAGAAATGAACGCCTCCGCTCTGCTCTCCCTTCCCCACCCATGATCCTGCCTGTGTTCACGCCTCCGCTCCACTCCGCTCCGCTCTGTTCTTTTCTTACTCAGGCCCTTCCCCATCCATGGCCCTGCCTGTGTTCACGCCTCCGCTCCACTCTCCCCTCATTCAGGGTGAGGCTTCCTTCTTCAGTTAAATCCTCCTGGATGCACCCTCATAAATTCACCCAGAGGTGTGTTCCAGGGCGATTTTAAATCCAGTGAAGTTGACAATGGATTTTAGCCATTGTGCTTAATATATTCCAAATAGCAGACTGTAAACATGATAGAAAATAAGGAGCTATATCCAGTTCTTGGCTTTAGAAACAGCATGTTAAGAAACAACATAGAAAACACAAGTATGATAGGACCCTGTATACTCTGAGAAACCATTAGGGTCAGTGGAATGGGGCCCTCACTGCCAAAACGATGTAAGTCCCCGGTTTCTTTGTTGAGCCTTTGCTAAGTAACAGTAGGAGCCTGAAAGCAAAGACTGAAATTCTCTGTGAATTTCAGAACATAAATCAAGATTTCCAGATAACTTTTCTATGTCACACATTGACTTCCCTGTGAGAGAAGTGGTGAAATGTTTGGGTAGCATGCATTCTGCTCTCCCCTTTACGGGTCAAGAGGAAAGAGCATTTAGTACTTAGTATGAAAATAAGTGTCTCAGGGACAGAAAACTGTGCTGTAGAAGAGGGTGCTCATGGGAAAAGGGAAATAGAATAGCTGTCCATGCTCCATGCTTTCAAAATTGCCTATCAAACCAACAGTGTTTTGTTTGTTTGTTTGTTTTTATTTTGTTTTGTTTTTTAGTTCTCCCAGGACACGGTTCAGATGGATTCAGGCCAACTACACCACAGGAGCAGATTCCTGGACTATTGATAATGTTGTACTGGCCTCAGGGTGTCCTTGGATGTGCTCAGGACGAGGAATTTGTGATGCTGGACGCTGTGTGTAAGTTAATAAAATGCAGTTTCCTTCTTTGTGGTGGCACAATGAAACTGGCGTGTGGAAGCCATAATAAAGACTGCTGCCTCTCCTCTCGTTTCCTCGGCAGGTGTGACCGGGGCTTTGGGGGGCCCTATTGTGTTCCTGTCGCTCCCCTCCCCTCCATTCTGAAAGATGACTTCAACGGGAACTTGCATCCTGACCTTTGGCCTGAAGTGTACGGTGCAGAGAGGGGGAATCTGAATGGTGAGACCATCAAATCTGGAACATCTCTGATTTTTAAAGGGGTGAGTGAAGTTCTGTGTGTTCTCTATCATCCCCAAGCCGCACTGCCCCACACAGATGCATTCTGGGTCTCTCCAGCGTCTGTTATCTCTGCACAGTTACTGACTTCTAGTGCACACCCTGGGTTTTTTTCCTCCCTTGCCTCCCCACTTCCATCTTGTCTCTGAGGTAAGGTCTTGCTGTGTCTACTACATTCATTGTTGTGGTCCTTTGGACACAGCATTGCTTCTCTCTTTGGAGATCAAATTCTTCTGCTAACTTTCTGATGGAATACATAAGAATACATGTATGCATAATCGTTAGAATTTGGTTACTAGGAGCAGCATTTCCTATTATTGAATTTTTATCTTATAGTATTTTTAAATGATTTTATGAAATCTTTCCCTTTGTTCTTTTTTTAAGAATGTCTTCCTGCCAGCAGTCTAACCTTCCTTACAGGTGACTAGAAGAAGACAGGGCCATTAAGTCACGTTAACTGGCACTCTCAGACCTTCTTAATGTTCTTTTGTCTTCCACCCTAGATGTCTAGTTAGAGAAATGCTAAGCAGCAGAATGAAACTCTGCTCGGCTGGCACCTCTGCATGTGTGAGTGCGTGCCACATCTCGTCCCTCTCAGCAAGGAGAAATTGACTAATCTGGGTGTGCAAATGAAGTCCTTGACAAAAGTCTGCATGTGTTTCTGTACAACCTTAATGAGTCATACTGAGCACTGAGAAAATTAGACACCCTGGAACTTTTTCAATTATAGCTAATAGATGCCAGTTAGCATACTTGCTTGAATCCAAATTCCTCCCAAGTTTTGCATGGATAGAGAGAAATACTTATTGACCTGAGAGGTGTATAAGTCCCCAAGAGTGCTAATGGACCAGAGACAGTGAGACAGCACATCCACGATGGAAACTCCTGGTATCTTTAGTCTCATCTAAGGATGTAGAGCCCATTACCTCCAACTGACTTCTGCCCCATTCCAGGCAGCTCACTAAACCAAAGAAGAGAAGCCTTGCAACTTCCCATGCTTCAGAGGTCTGCCTGATAAATTTTCAAGCACTAGAATTAACCTAGTCCTTAAGACTTATGAGTAAGAACGGCATGTAGGCTGTTTTCCCTTCAGCCATTGAAATGCAAGAGCAGCCAAGCATTATGCCTTACATGTATTATCCATCAGCTCTACAAGATGTAGACAGCTCGGTGTGTGCCATTCAGCAGGCTGCAGTTTGACCTACAAAGGCATTCTTTCATGAACGGGGATGATCGTCTTTCTCGCTATATCTTTAGGAGTGCTCTCCACTACTAAAACCGCTTGTTGAATACAACAGAATTTTTCATATTTGGTACAGACGGATCTGAACCTAGTGAAAGAATGAAAGGGAAAACAGTATGAACCAGAATCTACAGCACTGAGGGTTGACAGTTCCACTACATAAAAGTCCCTGTCATCCAGTAGTGGTGCACTCCTTTAATCTCAGCACTCAGGAGGCAGAGGGAGGTGAATCTCTGAGTTCAAGGCCATCCTGGTGTACAGAACTAGTTCTAAGACAGCCAGGGTTACACAAAGAAA